TACTGCTAGGGAGAAGTGTCACAGGATGAAATGGTGCAACCTCAGAAAGTGAGAGGGTTGTCAATAAATAAGAATCTTTCTAGGAACGTTATAGGAATCATGAGCAAAACATTACGGGAGTAGCAGTTTTGAGCACTATGCAAGATGACTGCCTGATTTATTTTTGGTTTTCCCTCTCTATGAAGAACTGCATCAATCTGAAACCTGGGTTTATCATGTTCACAATACTTTTTCCGTGGAAATATTCCTTAAAATTAAACTTGTTTTCAATTTGAAATGACTCAAACTGTCCATGGCATATTTTGAAACATTTAAATAGGGAAAAAATTAACATCTCATTTTTTGTTGTGATTGTGCGGACAATAAGGATCTTGTATTGGCATATTTCTACAAAATTTTAATGGAGAGTAACTATATTAAAGATGAAAAGTGGGAACCTTTTTAGTGTGCTGTGTTTCTGACCTTATGGAGTCAGTGAAGACAGTGTAGAAATCTATAAGAGAACATTATTCAAGCCTTTTATGTCTTTGCAAGTCACTTGCGAAGGCCCTATAGAAGATCACTGAGTCTTATTCTTACAGACATTGCCGTTTTTACTAGTTGTACTCTTCTCTGAGAAACAAACTTGATGGTAAGACAAACTGCACCTATTGTATACCCAACTTTTTTTTTTTCAGAGTGCTAATTCTACTTTTCCTAATGGTTGATGCATTCAAAACAGTAGGATGTTTTCAGTTGTCCTGTTTATGGATGTAGATATCTCTTAGTGCTTGGGCTTAGGTTCCTTGCAGATATGTTGATAACTTAGGTTTTAACACTGTATGATTAAAGTTGCTTTCTTTAAATGTATAGCATGTAGGGGGTAAGATACCATGTTGATTACTTACTTTCTTCAACACCAAAAGAGTTTATTTTTTAAAGCATCATGTAGCAGTTCCCCAGGTCTTCAGTTGAATATATAGGCACAATGAAAGACAGAAGGAATTTGACTCTTTGCAAATATCAGGTTACTAATGAAATCTTGGTAGTAGGGAGGCTTTTATGTTTTTTCATTATGTAAATTTATGCTCAGTTATTTTACTTGAGTTTTTAAATACAACACAGAATATTTGTTGTGGTTTTTTTTTTTAACTAGAGAAGTGGCTATTTAATACTTAAATTTATCTTTAGCCACTAGTAAGCTTTCTGAGGTACCTGTGATTTGGTATAGTGTTTGAGATTCTGTATTCCTCTTTATGGAATGGGCAAGATAGGATGTAATTAACTTGAATTCTGATTATTATCGACTTTCATATCAAAAGGTCTTCCTTATACCTTCAACACAGTGGCTGAAAGTTCTAGTGGAACAGTTATAAATAAAAATCAGAGTTGTGTATCTTTTATATGAACTACTGAGGTTTTTAATATCTCTTTTATCTTTTAGCAGTCTGCAGTTCTATACCATCTCTTACTGCTATTTTTTCCTTCTGTTGGGCTCTATTTTCTTTTACTTCTCACATTTAGTCTATTCCAAGTAGAAACTTTAGGCTCCAGCAAAAATGTGAGTTTTTGACTAGAGTAGTAGTATTCTAAAAATTTCTGTATTATTTTTTGTTGAATGTAATCTAGAAGATTACAATGGTAATCTATATCTTAATTGAACTGGAACAAAAATAAATACGATTTGAAATGAAAAATCAAGACTCTCTAAGATGCACTTGCTTTCTTGGTCCTTAATACCAATTTGGCTGCACTTTAAATTGGTTTCCAGCTATAGTCTCTTATTTCAGTCTCTCATGGGTTGATTTCATGTGTTCCATGAGTGGTTGTTTGTAATTTTTGGAGCTCCTGTAAGACTTGAACACTTTAATGAGTTGATGAGTAGCAACCAGTAGGACTGAAATTGCTCAGAGAGAGGGACTACATAATAAAATGGGTCCCAGGCCACTTAGTTTGGTTTGCCAGGGTAAATGATCCTCCCACTGCAGCAGCCAGGGATGTTTGTGCGTGGGGAACTGAGGTGGAGGGATAGGCCTCAGGTACTGAGGGAAGCAGTAAGGGAAGCGGCATGACAACCACTATTATTCACCCTCACTGATCTCCCAAACCACTCTGTGTAATGTCTATTTTTGGAAGGTGCTACAGGATGGACTAAGTGTGCTGCTTCCGGGTGTTGACACCTCCATTTCCAAAGGACAACTCTTATGGCCTGACATAGTCTGAGTGGACCTGTTCTTTCTGTCTGTAGCAATCTCCTGGACCAACCCTATTCATGTGACAGGACGGCAAGAAATGCATCGTGACCTGACTGGGAACATTCTGGGTCTGCATTGCACTTGGGCTGCTTGTTGTGCTGCCCTGCACTTTTATCTTAGACTAAGTGAGGAAAACTTTAATGCATAGCTCTGCCACCATTATTCTCCTGATTCTGAGATGTGTGAAAGGTGAACCCTAAACAGCAAGTGGGAGGACGATTTGTGTAATTCCTCCCACTGAAGCAATGACTCTGGACCTCTCCTGTGTCTTCAAAAAACAAACAAAAAGATCTTTTTAAGCCTGTGAAGGTTATAGGTGAGAGGAAGAGGAAAGAAAGTTACGTGTAGTGGTTTGGCATACATACAACTCCTGTTGCTAAATTTTAGAGCATTTAAAGCCCATCTGTCATGGTACTGTTTTCCCCCTTAATTTATAGTGTACTAATGTAGTTGAACATGAGGTTAGCTATCCATCAACTGTAACAAATAATAAATTAAGTTAATTGATGAGTCTTTAATTTCACTCATTTCCAAACTATAAATTGTAGGTATTCCTTTTGCCTTGTGAAACATGTCTATAGTAAATGTATTAATTATTTGACATGTTTTAATCTAACTTAATACTGAGTTTCTATTATTAGCAATTGTCCTTGATGAAATGGTGTCAACATTGCAAGTAGATGTAAGTGAATCCCAGAGAAAAATATATACTGTTGAATTCATCTTCTTACTGAGATGATGTCAGTGCCTAGTGCCTTCTGGTCATTGCCTGTGGGTGAAGAATCCTTGTTCCCAGCTGTATTAAATACAGTGGGTCTGTGTTTACAACTGTTACTGAATTAAAAAGGAGGCTTGGAAGTTAGGATATCTAAGGGAGAGAAAAAACAGGTGGTACCAAAATGTTGCCTAGGAAATGATGTTCTATTTAGCATTTTACATTTTTGTGTAACCTTAATCTTGTTTCTGTAAGACTACTGAAACAAAACTTTGATTGGGATGAAGGATGTTTTAATATGACTTGTGCTGAAAGGCATTTTGCAGTTCAGGGAGTCCTTTTAAGTTATCTGAAGTTATTTTTAAAAATAAATGTCCTTTCTTTAATAAGGTCGCCTGAACAGGAGAGTGTGTAACAAGAGATTTTCAGTCTTTGCATGAGTATCCTTCATGCATTGAACTCCGGACTATAGTTACAACAATTCTGCTTTTATTATTTAAGACAAAATCAAGGATTTTCCACTTGTTGCTTTCATTTATAATTGTTTTGTTGAATCTGCTGCTGCAGTGGAGCCTCAGTAATATAATTAGCAATGCAGCAAAGACTAATCCTTTTGTTTATTGCCCTTTGCTTCAGTTCTTCAGTATCTCTAAATGTAATATCTGCTATATATGGTTCTGAGGTTCCATTTCATGATGGTGTATTGGAGGGAGAGGAAGATGGTACTATACATTAGAAATTACCAGAGTAGGGCTTTTTTATCAAACACAGAAGCAGGTAATGGAATTGTTGAAGTGGTTCATAGAAAAAGCAGAAAGCCTAGTACACAATTAAGCATATCATTTCTGAGATTTCCTGCTCAATTTCCATTCTATCTGAAAAGTATTTAAAATAGCTGATTAACCTGTACTTCTAAGTGGAATAGTTGCTTAAAAAGTTGCATTTTACGAGATGGGAATACAGAGGTCATGTTTGTTGACTTAAACTATTCTCAAATTGCCATGGGTTTTGTTTTCTTACAGTTTATTATTTCATGACAAATTTATGTCGCTAATGTGAACTATTGTCGAAATGCTTTGAATGTTTTGATAACTAGGGCATGTGAGGTGATTTTCAGATGCTTTCTTTAGTTGATTGGGAGGGCTAGTTTATTATGAGCAATGAGGGAATGGTGAAAGCCTAGCTTCTCATTTTGCTGTTTCTCTTTTTGTTTTCCTGTTGTCTTGGTCATGACATTAGTTTTGCTTAAGGAACAAGCAAATTTGATTTTGCTAACTTCTAGTAGTGTGTTTGGGGGGGAGGAAATTCTTCATTTCAACTTTTCAGTATTTGCTACTAAATTGTTAACAATTGTACTGGACACCAACTTCATTAAAACCATCTTTTGTAAAGCTGACTTTTGGACTTTATTGACCTAGCAATGACTTGTTTAGACTTCAGATTACTGGTTAGTGTAGTAGAAATATTTTCCCCTCTTTGGTTTGCCATCAGTTTGCCAACATCTAAGTAACATTAAATTTCAAAAGATAGCATTCTACTCTGCAGTACAGGCCTTTAATGTTTTAGTGTGATCTTGTCATCAGTGCTGTGCAAGGATGCATTTTGCTGCTGAAAGAATGCACAGTTTTGCATGTATTTAATAAAATTACTCCTTCCAGATTGTCTGCAAAACATCATTTAGGTATGTTGAAGATGATGAGATTGGTATGTGTATTGCTTTACCCCTACTTTCAAAATAAGGCATGGCCTTTGTCTTTCTTTGTTGATGCTTTAAATATTATGGCTAATACCAGTATTCTCCATCGATAACCCAGGATGCGGAAAAGAGAAGAAAGTTGTGCTTACCTCCTGCATAGACAGAATCTGTCTGTATTAAACCATATATGCTAGGAATTTCTTTTCACCTCCCTTGCTGTTATGCCACTATTAAATGACCTCTCAGCAGTTTAACTGGTGTATGATTAGTCAGCACAGTGTTTCTGGGCAATGTCCCACATACATATGTATTTTTGTAAGAGACAGACACATTTCTTTTGTTCTTTCATTTTTAGTTACATGGGAATTGGGCTTTCGGCACAGGGTGTGAACATGAACAGACTACCAGGTATGTTTCAGTTACTTACATCTGTTAACTATGTTTTTTAAAAATATACTTCACCTTGATGGGAAGGTTTTAGTAAGCAACAGAGTGTAGCATGACATCTCTGTGTGGTATCTGTTATTGTAGTTATGTAACACTTGCAACTAGAAAGTTTAACTTTTACTGTACATTTGCTCCTGTACTACTTCCCAACTCTTAGTGTTATTTATAACATTATGCAGATACTTTTTAGCAAACAAATACATATAAAATTTTTTGTCATGTTTCCAGATAAAAACGAAGCTATAGATTTCCATGCTCTACAAACTGAGTTTCTAGCTATAAAGATGAGCTACTGTGATAAAAACTTGTTGACAAGCATGGAGTGAGCTCTTCTACTGACAGTTTCTGTATAGTTACCTTTCCAACCTTATGTGAGGGTGTGTAGCCTAGTTTTCAGTTTTGGCTGTTCCATAAACCTGCATGGTCAGGGACAGTCTTGTTAATAATTGTTTGCAGTATCTCTGTAACACTTACAGAAGTTTTGTGTGTGTGTACGTGTTGCCTTTTTTTTAAAGAGATCCTTAAATGTGTAAAAAATACCCACCCTAAAACAAAAACCAACAAACTTTTTTGAAATTGTCAAAGTATAAAATTATGTTGAATTGACCTTAGAGTATCTGCATTGCATTATAACTTTTTAACCCAACTGTTCTCAAAAAGCTTCTTACAGTTATAGCAGTCTCAGTTACACTGTGTGCCCAGCTAAGGGTGATGGATTATTAGTGGGTGGCATTGTTTATTTTGAGTATGATTTAGGATGCATTGCAAATAATTAAAGATAGTACTAATCAAAGTAACTACAATAATTTGGGATCTTTAATTTACTGAGAGATGCTTAATGTCGTACTAGCTGAAGCTACTGATTATACAGATTAAGGGTCTAAGTGTGGAAAATACTTTCAAATTAACCTGTTAGGCAGCAACTTGACAGAAAAAGCTCAGTATTGAATTGCAGAGAGTGTAGACAGGTATTTTTAAATGATCACAGACTAAAATTGCTTGCTGTGAATTTCATTGAATACTGTAATAGTCTGAAGCTTCTTAGAGGTTCTGCAGCTTCTTCACCAACAAAATCAGCGCCGTATTTGCATACATAATGATTTGCTCCTGGCTGTGACTTTGACCTGTATTGATAATCTTTTTCCTTTTCACTTAATTTATTTTAATTTTTAGGGGCAGCAAAGATAGTGGCACTTTAGTCTGGATGTTCTGCTATTATGCAGAGGCTGCTTGCTACTGAATAGTCATTGAGAATGATCAGGAGTAGAAATGTGCTTCCCCCGAGACGCATGTTTGGGGTTTAGCCAGGAAGAATCTGATTATGACATATGGTAGCAATAGTTTTGCAAAATGAAAGGGAGAACAAGAGAATCTTCACTGCTTTGCTGGGACATGTCAGATCTGTATATAGCTTTTCAAATTTCAGCATTGTAGCTGATTATATTTTTGGTGTTGGTAATTTTGTACATTCATTTAAAGAGAAAAATGTGTTATCTGAATTTGCATTATCTGTTATGTACTACAAACAGAATTACTTGTTCGGCCATTTTGATAAAAGAAGTTGTCATTTTTTAGAATTATACAGATTTCTTAGATAAGAAATCTTAGAAAGTAGGAAGCTGAGCATATTAATTAACCATATGAACCTGGTTAGACTATACCAGCTTTGCGTAGTCTTTGATTTATTAACTATAATAAAGGAAGCGAATAAATTGCAAATGCTTTTGTTCTCTAGGTTGGGATAAACATTCATATGGTTACCATGGAGATGATGGACATTCATTCTGTTCCTCTGGAACTGGACAACCCTACGGCCCAACGTTTACTACGGGCGATGTCATTGGTTGTTGTGTCAACCTTATCAATAACACCTGCTTCTACACAAAGAACGGACACAGCTTGGGTATGGAGAAACGTTACCATTAATGATAACAGTATGTCTTCAAGTCTGTAAATATGAAACTCTTTTCATGCCAGGAGCACTGTTTGAGTTGTTCTTTTGATAGTTTGATCATCAATGAAGTAATTAAAGAATTGGGAAGAATAATTTCTTGTGTGCCACTAACATTCCTTGTGCGTTTGGGAGGATTTATTCATATAACATCTCATTCTACAGGATCTGCATTAATGAACTCCACTACTAAATCTACAAATAATGCTTGATGTTTATAAGGTAATAGATAGTAAGGGAGGTGGAATTAGCTAAAATTAATTTCTGCTGTATGGGGGGACACCTAGCCTTCACTAAAACCTTATATTGGATGGGTGTTATTTTGAGCAGGTGTTGGAGAACAGTGTCTTTTGGATTCCCTGTCTGGAGTCATTCATAGTTGGGCTAAAGCCATAAATTATACAAGTTGTGCTAAAATTAAGTCCAATAAATTCTTGTGGTAAATTGTAGTATTAAGCAACACTGCAAGATAATTTTGAGTTTAGAGATATCAGGAGTGGGTAGAGTTAAAAATTTTGATGGAATATCTATTTCAGTTCCTTAATGCAATTTAATGAGCAAAGATACAATGTAAAATTAAAAAGAAAACCATTGACTTCCTGCATTTAGGGGGAAAAAAGGGGGGGCTTGGGAAGAAATCTTGAAATTGTGCTGAGCAGAACAGGAATTTCGAAGGGATAAAGCCCAAAGAAGAATAAGATTTTTGTCATGGGTAAAAATGTGATAAGGAAAAGAGAGGGTAGCTTGAAATGAAATAAGAAGCTTTGAGATAGGTATTCTTGAAGTTGCTGTTCTATTTTCTCACACTGGCAAACATGACGAAGGTTTGGAAAGTAGTAAGGGAAAGGACACAGTTTAAATTATTTTCCTAGTCTATCTGAACAAGACTGTCAGTTTGTTTGCCCTGAGCAAACACATCTGACTTTGAAGTTTTCCTGCCCCTACTCAGAGCAGGGCTTAGGTTGTCTTCTGAGGTCAGTTCCAAGTAATCACTTCTGGGATTCTATTTTATCATGATTTAATGTTCCTTCTAAATTGAATGAATCTGTATACCTGGACTCACTATCTTGACACCTAGGGCAGTAGGTGACACCTGGGGCACTTGAACCATGCACTGTGGAGTTGTTTCATTTGGCCCTGTTGCAGGGTATGTCCAAGTGAAAGATAATGGGCTTGTGTTTGCCTTAATCTTTAGCTGGGTTAAACAGAGAAAGGTCATCTTACTTATTCCCTTTTTGAAACTAGCAACAATGTGCCTGCAGGTAGGTTGGATCATGTGATCAACTAAAGAGACACTAGTTTTCGTGACTACCCTTATGGTCACATTCATGAAAGAGCTAAAAGGGAAGAGCAGAACCCTCTTTTTCAGTGACAGACTTAAAGCAGACTGGATTAGGCCAACTGTGAAACAACACTGCAAGTGATTACAATCTGTTTTTAAAGGAGAACAGAATGGCATAGGTGAGGAGAGGCTAATAAAATGTCATCTGTCATAGACAGAGTCTGACAAACATTTCATGGATTCCAGAAGGCAAACTGACAGCTTTTCTGCTGTTGTGGGCTTTGCTGGCTTGAATTTCTGACAGAGGAAAATTGATTCTGTGTTGAGTGGAAAAAGAAATCAGAAATTTTGGCTGTCTTGCAAAGTTGTTGCTGCTGCTAGTTGTGCAGAATTCTTATATGATCGTGACTTGGAGGACATTTATGTTTTTTCTCTGGGCCGCAGATGCGCTCTGAAGTATAGACCTTGGCCTAGGATTTGATGTTACAAAAAGGGCTAAGCAATTTTCATGCAAGTTTGAAATCCTGGGTTGAAAAAAAAAAGCCACAAAACCAACCCCCCCCCCAAGCCCCCAATACCTGCATATCACTCAGTTGTCATTTATCTGTCATGCCTACAGCCATGGCTATTTTGGAAAAGAACGGGTTGGATGTTAAAATGTGCCAAACAGAGAAAGTAGTAATAGCTTAGGAAAAGTTAGGGTGAGAACAGGTAATAAATAAAAAGATAGCTTTGAGATGTGATGGAAGGAAAGAGATTGATTCTGTATGTCAGCCTTTTGTCTCAAAGATGTGAGTAAGGAATCCAGATGCTCCTGAGATTTGAAATCTTGGTGAAGAATGGAGATTGAAAACAGGGGTGGAATTTAGGACAAAAGATTAAAAGCTTTGTTTTCATCCTAAATTTGAAAAGGCAGTGATACAAAATAAATAAGAGTTTGAAGGGATAAGTGGATTGGAATAATTATGCATTTGTAAAAAAAAAATAATAAATTAAGAAATATTTGCAACAATAAAAGAAATTATGAAATACTGTTATTTGGCTGTCAGAAGGCGATTCCCAATATTTATTTTTTAACTGAAAGCTTCCCAGCCCCCAAAATTGCCTGAAATTCCTGAGGTGTACAGAGGTCAGATGTTTCTCTAATCCTGAGACAGCAAAATCACTCCCTTGGTTTTACGGGTAGATGGATGCTTGTAATTATGTAACAACATATTAAGCTCTTCTGTTTGAAAACAAAAACATGCTGGCATGGATTAGAGTGGAACGTTTACCAGGCTGATTTGGAGTATTGTAGGCATGTGCTGCTTGTGTAATGATCTTGAGTACTTACGAAGAGCAGTGATAGCAATCAAGAAGAGACACCATTAAATTTTGATGTTGCAGCATCAAGACATGCAAGTGAAGAAGTATCTTCAGATATTCTTACTTTTCTTCTTATGTTTAATATGTAGCTAGAATTTTCATACTTTCTAATCTGCATATGTGTATGATGTTTTTTAATTCTTATGCCCTATTTTGGAAAAATTAGGGGCAGATTGAGTATTTTTGAATGACAATTTCTTTTTGCCAAATACTGCCCTTTATTACTTAAAAAAATGAGTGGTACCTAAGCATCATGGATTTCACCATACTTAACTTATTTCTGAGATGATTTGGGTGAGTTTTCTGAACATATAATAAGAAAATGAGGCTAAAATCCAGACACATGGAAATTAATCTTAATTTTCTCTTCGTTACAGGCATCGCTTTCACAGATTTACCGGTAAGATAAGTGCATTTTCAAACAGTTTTCCTTTGTACCATAAAGAGATGTTTCAGATCAAACTGGCATTTACCTTATGCTTCTCGGAAATACAATGATAGTTTTCTTAACCAGTTTAATATCAGATATTTCTCTTCATCACTTCAGTGATGATTTGTTAATTGAAGCAGAAAGTTTTTTTTGTTTTCCACCAATCCTTTACGAGGGGTTTTCCTTTTCAGGTTTTTAACAAGCAGTTCTAATGGAAGTTTTAGGAGAAAATAGTACATACAACTAGTTATTACATACTTTGACACGTTCAAGCCTTACATGCAAAGTCAAAGCTATATTAAACACCAACACAGTGCATGGCTGTTTGAGACGTAGTCACTGTAATTCATGCTTGATGCCTGATTTGATTGCTTCACAAAATCAGACATAGCAAATTAGTTTTTTTAAAGAAAGCTGCATATATCTGAAGTCTTGTAGCTTTTGAGTCAATTAAATTGTGCTTTCCTTGAAATTGGTATGTGTTCCCTATGCTACTGGTACAGGCACAATACTGCTCTTACTTTTTTTTTTTTTCATTCACTTCATTTCTGTTTTAATCTGGTTAAGGTGCAATGTGTGATGCATATACATCTGGCCAGCTACTCCATTTGCTGTGGCCTTGGGAAGCAAGGACAAATATTAAAGAAAAATGAAGTCAGTAACCCAAGGAACCTCTTAGTCCTGCCACAAGGTTGAATGTTTTGTGCAGGAAGCCACTGCCACTATCCTGGATCTTTGGGATGCTAGCAGGGCTCCTTGCTGCCATATGGTGCCAACCCAGCAAAAGTGACACTACAATCTGAAGTATGAAGCTGGACCCCTCCTCATTAGAATTGATTGTTTTCCTCTCATTAAAAGATTTCAGATTTCTGCTTTGTTGATTAGACTAGACTAGGTAACACTATGAGCAATGTTTATTAAAAAAAGAGAGGTGTATGTGTGAAAATAGAGGCAAGGTTGGCTTGGGCATGGTTTTCTTTCATTTCACCTGCATGTTGATAGCTTCTTACTGCTAGCTTTAATTTGTTTAGCATATAGCTTTGTAGGTCAGCATACCATTATACTGTTCCACCATTGTCTGCAGTATAAATATGATGTAGGTGTATTTATAAATAACTTTAAAAAAAAATTTAAAAAATCCCCCACAAAAAACTCTAACAACAAAACCCCATTCACCCAATTGATTGCATTGCCACTGCTGAGATATTCATTACATTTAAGTAAAATTACCTTAATCCCAACAGGCAGATTTTACTTTTCTCATATTTGGCGTATTTCAAATTTGGATGGGGACCTAATCTCTAAGCAGAAAATGAAACTGAGACAACAATAAATCCTTTGAAGTCTCTTTCTAGATACAAGTCCAGGAATTCATGAGAACTTCAATGCACTGTTACAGTTCTTTTTAGGCACTACACTTGGACTTTGAGGCTATTGAGTCTTCTATCCTGTCAGTTCTTACCACTAAAATTCAGCAATGTTTTAACTATTTCACCCCAAAAGGAAAATGATCCACTTTGTAAGTTTAATTTTTGTTCTCTTTTTAAAAGAAAAAAACTGGTCTTTAAAAATCATCAAAAAATTGTTATTTAATATTTTGTAAAATTGAAACCAAATTTGTAAACTTTAGCACAGTTTAAAATCTGAATTTTCTGACTAGAACGATCAGTCTTTCTTCTTTCAAACTAAAAAATATTATGATCACTGGGAATAAAATTAATCAGTCATTGTATTGCTGTGTTGGCAGAAGCTGCTTTTACTGCTGGACAGATGGTCCAGAGGTATTTTGTTATTCACACTACTAGTAGTGGTGGGGGTATTATTACAGAGATGAAAAAAACCCCAAAAAGTGGGGAATTCAGAATAAGAGGAAAAAAACTAACTAAAAATTTTTTTGCAGCCAAACTTGTACCCTACAGTAGGGCTTCAAACACCAGGAGAGGTTGTGGATGCTAATTTTGGACAACACCCATTTGTATTTGATATTGAAGACTACATGCGAGAATGGAGAACCAAAATTCAAGCACAAATTGACAGATTTCCAATAGGAGATCGGGAAGGAGAGTGGCAAACAATGATTCAGAAGTAAGACTTTGAATATTGTTCATTTAAAAAACAAGTTACTTGCATGATTTCAGAGACCTTTAAACATTCCGTCTATTGTCTTGTGGGAAAAATGATAGATAGTATTAAAAACTAATACAAATAGTTTTGTTAACAGGTTTGATAACAGTGTAAAATGGAGCATGAATAGATTTTGTGGAAGAGTTGTCTGTGTCGTTAATTTGGAATTTATAACTGTGAGTGTAAGGCTTCTATTCTGATATGACCTATCTAATGTGGATTAGGGAGTTTAGAAAAGTTGCTGTGGTTATATTGGGCAGTTTTAATGCTCTGGGCTCTGGAAGTTTCCCTTTGTGTTCTCAGGCTTTTGCATGCCAGGTTAAGTTGTGCCTAATTATGTTTCTTGGAAAAAATGGGCGTTGTGACTTTGCATCTTTTTATTTTTTCAGTGTAAACAAAAACTTATTGTGAAGAAATTTCACTTCAGTGTATCTAATGAGCAAAAAAAAAAAACTTAACAATTAATATTTGAATTGACCCTACTTTTGGGTGATGAATAATTTTTATTAAAATTCATCATAATAAAGTTATACATTGATTTTTCTGTACAATTTTGAAGAAGATACTGGTTCTTAAGTGAATTACTTTTGTCTGACTTGCACAGAAATCTCTGAATTTCAAGTAGAATTCTTTAATTAAGTCACTTTTTTCAGAGAAGATTTTTTTACGTTCATAAGTTCTTGGTTTCTTACCTGTATGTAATGAGTATTTCTGGATTTTGTTTATTTTTAGAATGGTATCATCTTACTTAGTTCACCATGGATACTGTGCAACAGCAGAGGCATTCGCCAGATCCACAGACCAGACTGTGCTAGAAGAATTAGCTTCCATTAAGAATAGACAAAGTAAGGCTGGAAAGCATGTTGCATCCCTTTTTTCCTCGCTTAAATATTACATGAAGCTTTCTCATAAGCACCATTGTAGAATTTCCTTGCAGCACTACTCCATAGTACAGGTTTTTGCTGTCATATAAAGTTACACGAGTATGAACAGCTGGTTACACAAAATTTGTTCAGTAACGCTTTGGAACGTGTTTGATGTAGCAGAATGTGGTAAAGTTCCTTGTTGTCTTTTTCTCTTGAATGAAAAATGTGATCTATCTTAAACAAATGTGTGTAATGTCTCTAAATGAGTGTTTGTGAGAGCTAACCGTCAGTCGCAAACAGGAGTATAATACTCAATCTTGACAAACATTTAGATTTTTATCTTAACTGTGAAAAGAGATTGAGTTTAGAGAATGCTTTATTAGTTAAACTTGAGTTTTCCCGTTTACAGATGTAAGGGGGAAGAGGACAAGGAGAACTAACAGCAGTTCAGTTCTAACTTGCCATGGCAGGGCTGTTGGGCAGCCTGATTAAACAGTGCCTTCCTCATCCATTTAAATCTCTCCTCTATGAACATAAGCAGTTGTGTTACTGCATGACATACCACATGGGGAAACTGCTCTGGTTGAAAAATATCCCATTTGTTGGGCTGTTTTTCATTTGGATGAGTTTCTCTGTCAGTGGATAGAACAGTGAGACTGTTTGCAACTTGTGCCAAGTTACAACCACAGAAGCATCAACTAAAGCAGGGACTGTTGTGAAAAGCTTTACTCAACTGTAACCTGACTGGAAGTGTGTGTTGTAGGTGAGAGAGACTAAATTTTTTTCTCAGTCAAAACTGAACCTGTGGGAGTGGGATGCAATTTGGATGTTTTTGAGTGACGATAGTTTGGTATGTGCTTATTTATAAAGTTGTGAAAATGAGAAGTAAATTACAGAGAGTGTCTGCAGTCTTATTCTAGCTCTAAATGCACAATCTGACTACAAAGCAGTTAGATGCTGGCAATAAATATACTGAGTTCTCATTTAGATATATGTAGGTGGAGTGCAGTTCTTAAATTTTCCTGTTGAACGTTTTAAGGAAGCATGATCTTTCTTTACACTATTTTTTTCTAAGAGAAAAAAAATCTTGTTGATTGATGGTTGCAGTGTCTTTTAATCATTAATGTACGTATATTAATCCATAAACTGTCCATTTAACTGATGTTGGTTTTGGTGAACAGAAATTCAGAAATTGGTTTTGGCAGGATGAATGGAGAACCCATTGAAACAACATAACAGCTGTATCCAAGTTTACTAGAAAAAAATCCTAATCTCTTATTTGTTTTTTGGTGAACAGGAATTCAGAAATTGGTTTTAGCAGGAAGAATGGGAGAAGCCATTGAAACAACACAACAGTTGTATCCAAGTTTACTAGAAAGAAATCCTAATCTCTTATTTGCATTAAAGTGAGTCTTCAAATTATACAGATGTGTGTTTATAGATGGCACAGTACCTTCTGAGACAAGACAGTTACGCATTTAAAGCTTTCACAGAAATTTAAACAAAGTTAAGCAGCGCTTTTTAGAAAATGTGTATATTTCACTTTTTTATGCTCTTCTTATTTGCTACATGTTTAACTAGGTTTTGTCATCAAACTCCTGGTTTGCAGCATAATTCACATCTCCCTGTAGACTTGTTCTATAGAACTAAGTTTTGTAGTTTTTAAAATCAATTTTAATTCATTTGGGTGTCAAGTAAAACTTAAAATGAAAACTGATACAGTATCACATTCAAGAAGATTAAGAATCCTGTTGGCATAAATTAGTCTGTTCCTCCAAAGGGGTGACTGACTTTAAAGATCAGTTTAAATGAGGTGTTTCATTCCATGTCACTTTACTAGAAACCTCTGGCTAAAACTGTGGAAATTCCATAATCCCAAAGAGTTCTCTTGGCTTCCCAGGCACACAATAGTTACCTTCATTCTGGCATTTTTACTTGCCAGCTGGGCTGTTCCTCCAGAATTTTGTATCACATTGCAGTGTTTGAATTTCGAAAAAATCTGTTATCTCCTGTAAGAACAAAACACTTTAGTTTTATGTTCAGTTAAGTAACTTGGAATGTGTTTGGAGTCTGTCACGCTCAAGTGCTGAACAGAATTCACGTGATAGTTCTCCAGACTTATCACAGAATTCACAAAATGTGAACATTTTGATGAAACGCTTCACTTGATAATGTCAGTTGTATGTTACCTTTTTCTCAATCTGTCATTCTAAATTTTTTAATTTTGTCGTTCAATTTTGCTATTGAAGCATAAAGCAGTAGTTCTGAGCTTTCTTAAAGTCCATACTAAAACCTCCTTATCTAAAATGCAATTGACAAAGAGCAACAGCCTCTAAAGGGAAGGTTTGTATATGAGCTTCTTTTTCAAACTGTTTTCTAGTGCAAATGTTTGATGTTAAGAGTTACCCTTTGCTGTTTCAGACAGTCAAACTATATTCTCATTTACTTTGAGAGAAATGACAGACATAACAACATAAGGACATATCTTTCTCAAGAAATAACCTTGCCCCTGCCAATAAAACAAAACAGTTAAGAAAATATAGTTTAATTCTCTAAACCTTGAGGATTTGCTGACAAAGTCTGTCCATGAAGGATAATATTCCTGTTCTCCTCCCTCACAAATTTGTAATTGCTTATTTTTGGTGGTATACTCCAAAGCTCATTGAAGATTGGGTTACTGACATCCAGCATTTTGTTGAGTCAGTCTTGTTCTGTATTTAACACTAAAATGAAGTCATTGCTATCATTGGTAATTTGAAATGTGTAAATTGTTTTATTAGCTTAACTTTTTGCCTTTTGTTTAGGGTGCGCCAGTTTATAGAGATGGTGAATGGTACAGACAGTGAAGTGCGGTGTTTGGGAGGCCACAGTCCAAAATCTCAAGATAGTTATCCTGTTAGCCCACGATCATTCAGTAGTCCTAGCATGAGTCCCAGCCATGGAATGAATATTCACAATTTGGCAACAGGCAAAGGGAGCAGCACGCACTTTACTGGTAAGTTCACGTGGAGGATGTACCACATAGATTTGGAAATACCACACCTGTTTGTTTTACTTAAGATTTTATACTGAATGCTTTGTATAACAGTATAATTTTAATGATTAAAATATGTGATTTTCAGTCACTGGGCAAAGTGAAAGTTTCATCATATGTTTTTTGCATGTGCTGTTGTTTTTACTATGGGTTTGCAAAGCAGGTTGTCACCAATTTCTAAGAAATGCTTCTCTCTGGGAGATGAAAGGTTCTGATGAAAATTTCTGTTGTCCTTTTGATGATAATTTATGGCTTGGGCAGGGTGGTTTAAATCCAGTAAGTGGTGTATATGATCCCTTTCCTATGGTGTTGATGGAGAATTAGGAACATCTGCACTTATGTAGGAAACACCGAAAGCTCAGTGGTGGAGTAGGGAAAAGACTTTCTGCTGTCAGCCACATTTCAATCTGAACAATTGAATCAGTTCTTCGAGCATTTAGGTAATCGGAAATCTTCAATGGGAAGCCATGAATGTTTGAGGCTGCCAATGGGGAGATCCTCGTGCCTTCCAGAGCACCACTACAGAGAAGAAGTTGAGCATGTTAAAATAGTACGTGAACATGTCATCCTTGAAGACAAGACTTAAGATAGCAGAGACCATCAGCCTTCACTTCTGTTTACTTTCGAAATCCATACTGGAGCTGATTGGGGGTGCTTATTTTTCTCTCTCTGGGATGGAGTGGGAAGCCAGTGTAGCCTGGCCACCAGAATAACTGCTGCCCTTGGAAGGGACAGCAACTTCACTCTTCTTCCCTCTGTGTCAAGGGAGTGCCATCACATGTGTCAGTGGAGATCCACTCAGATTTTCTGGTTGTTCTTGAGGTGGTTATTTGGATGTATTGCAGAAAGATTATAGCCAGGTGGGGGTTGGTCTCTTCTCCCAGACAGCTATCAGTAAGACAAGACGGCATGGTCTTAAGCTCTGCCAGGGGAGATTTATGTTAGATACTAGGAAGAAATTCTTTAGAGAGGGTAATCAGGCATTGGAATCCACCAAGGAAGTGGTGGATTCTCCATCCCGAAGATGAGACTGGATGTGGCACTTAGTGCCATGGTCTAGTAACCATGGTGGTAGTGGATCAAGGGTTGGACTTGATGATCTCAGAGGTCTTTTCCAACCTGGCTGATTCTATGGTTCTATGAAAGTACCTCTAAGTTTTCTAATTTTGAAAATAGAGGCACCCCTTAATAAGCAAGTTGATGAATGTATTGTTAGAATTGAGGTTTGGGATTTCCTAAACAGCAGCAGCTGTTTTCTTAATAATAAGCCCTTTCTGTGACTTGTTTCTGTATTAGAAGATACTAGGTAGCTCCTGGTTCGATAGAACCAGCAATTACATGTTTGCTTCAAATAGTAGTTTTTTATCTTATTTTACAAGGGTCAGAAGAGATTTTAACCAGATATTGTTATTTCACAGCATGGTCTAATTTTATTTAGTAAAGCACAATATTAACAATTAAAATAGTTACATGGTGAAGGTTGTGTAGCAACATGTAAGCTATTCAGCACCAAATTCTACTGCACATTTATCAAAAGAATTATGTGATTACAATTAGTAAGGTGCATGTTTGCTTCCATTCATAATGACTACAGTGGCCTAGAAAAGATTTTTGGATCTTTCAGAAACAATGCATTAGTTCTAAAAGAAATTATTCTACTTTGGTGCAGTTTTCTGTTTTACTGGTGTATTAGTACAACTGAAAAACATTCTCATGTCTATGTTTGTAATTGTTATATATAATAATAATATGTAACATATATATATATATATATATAATATGTTATATATAATAATGCTTAACTTCTGCGCGGTAGAAAATTTAAAGGTTCAAGTACCTGAAACATGGAGTCAAAGTATTTGGGTTAGTTTGGCAAATCTAGCGTTTACTGACCAGGAACAATTATGCTCTACTTACTTCACTGCTATAAATTCGTACTTACAAATAAGTTTGTAGATGGTTATAACTGTTAAAACTTTCTTTCAGGGTTTGAAAGTAGTTGCAGTAATGGAGTAATATCAAATAAAGCACATCAGTCTTACTGTCACAGTAAACACACGACCACCAGCTTGAATGTACCAGAGCTAAACAACATAAATGTATCAAGATCACAGCAGGTTAACAGCTATTCCAGGTGAATAAACTTCAGATGCTTCTAACTTATGTTAAGACTTGTGTTGTCCATGTGCTTGCATTACAGAGAAGAATTTTCAGTGGGATTTGATATGATTTTTTTTTCCCCAAGGACATTTGAAACACATAGTGTAAGGGGCCAACAGCTTGTGATCACTCTGGTATGCTTTTGTGTTATTTTGATGACTCAAGCTTAATAGGCTGTTTTCTCCTCTTGGGTTAAAGAAATGCGATGGACAAAAATAAACTATCTGGCTTATAGTTATTTATGGTCAGTTTTGAAGTTGTACAGTGAAGGTTAACTAACTTTCTGGAATTTGGGATTTTAATTTAAGCCATTGACATTGATTTAAGTTTGTTGCATGTACGTAATGAAAAGTTTCCCAGATGCTCTCCATTTGTGGTAGTATCTGAAAAGTAAACGTGATTGAGATGCATATGAAACGTGGACTCCCTTTTGTTGTTTGTATATTCCAATCACTGTCACTTGTGCAAACACATTCAATTCAGAGAATGAAAATAAATTTAATAACCAGGTTTAATATAGTTATTCATCACCAGTAACTCTGGGTTGCGTTGATGCAGCAGAACCTAATTTGATGTGAAATGCAACAGTACTTGGCTGCGTTGTCCAAAATGGATTCCCAAAACTACCATGTAGGGTGTAATGATGCAGTGGTGATAACCAAAAGTATTTCAATTGGATAGTGATAATTGGGGTAAAAAAGTAAGAGTAACAATTTACTTTTTAACTTCATGATTTCTGTTTGCATCAGCATTGCCTCTGCCAAAAAGCCTGGCAGTGTCCAGGCAACTTGGAGATTTTTCACAGGAGGAAGACAGTTCCTTGGTTGTGATGTTGCTTAGTTGGAAAGACCTTTTAGTTTCCTTCCTCAAAGGAAACTTGAGTATTTTTGGTTGCTTAGAAGCAAGATATTAAACTTCTAAATTTAATATATGTGGTCTTGACAGAGGTTTTAGGTTGTTATTTTCCATAACAAAATAGAACAGGCTAGGATGCAACTGTCAGCAAAGTCTAGTCCCCAAAGCTGTACTAGTATTTTCTGAAAGCACTTCTGTGACCTGCTGCGAGCAAAGTATGGTGAGGAGTTGAATGCTCTGAATTTGCCTCTGAGTATCTCTTCAGTGTTTTGGTTTACTCAGCATTTGCTTTAGGCTTTTCTTTTTTTGTTTTTCCCCTGTCATTCCACTGAGAGTAAGTAAGAGATCAAGGCATTTTTGAAAGAATTAGTTACCTAAATGCATTTTCAAAGTAGGCTGTATATGGACTTAACTATATTTTTTAAAAAGTGGTAATAGTATATTTTCACAATGCATTTTCTCCAGCTCTGTGTATATAAAGATATATAAACAAGGTAAAAAATTTTTTATGTGTATCTAGAAAGTGTTACTCCTTACTGCTGAATAATAGGGGACATGTTTAATTTTTCAGCATCTGCAAGTACTATTTTACCAAATGTTAACATTAGTTGAGACAGCCTTAAAATTTCCATAGTGCTCTGGTACCAACAGTTGCTATAGAAGAAACTGTGGTCTAACTTGGTAATATTTAAGGCAGCTTTTCAGTAGCCAAGATGAGGAAGTACTGTGATGAAGTTGTGAATATAACCTAAGTACTTAAATATGAGTAAAACTTGTATTTATTACTCTCTTTTCAGCAATGATGTAGACATGGAAACAGATCACTACTCCAATGGGGTTGCTGAGACTTCATCCAATGGCTTCCTAAATGGTAGTTCTAAACATGATCACGAAATGGAAGAATGTGACACAGAAATGGGTCTGCAGTGATATTTCTTACATTTTTATTAAGTGATGGCACCAAGGTTATGTTTTTACTTGCAATGCTTCCCAACTTGAAAACTAGGATTATTAGCTCAAATCTTAATTTTTTGTTTGTTTGTTTTGCTGTTACAAGATGTAAATCTTATAACCACTGATTTAGGTGGTCCAGTATCAGTGTGAGAATAAGGAAAATAGGTAACTTGTGGCTACTGAAACTAGCATCAATTTCTAAGGAAGTACCTTTAAGAAGAAGCACCCTGTTGTGTAGCACCCCTGGCTTTGGGTTGGCAGATTGTTTCTCCCTCTTCCCCTAGTCCTCTTCCCATTCATGGTTCTCATGGCATCTTTGTGCTTCACAGTAAGTGTAGAAATTCTAAATCTTTATACTGAAGAATGCAAAGTGCTAATATTTAGTGCTCAAGGAAACCACTATATTTTGGAAATGTAAAAAAAAAAATTAAAATAATTTTTTCATTTTTTCCACTTAAAATTACTGCTTGTATAGTTGTGGTCTAAAAATTACCTCTGTTTTACTTAACCTGTTTTATACTCAGTCATACCTGTTGACATTGATGACAAATGAATATTTAAATCCCCTCTGATTGCCCTTTGTGCAGCTGCAGAACTAGGTTTTCAAACAATTGATTTAACCAGACATCAATTAGTAGGTAGTTTAAATGAAATGTGAAACTCGAGACTTCCAGAATGCAACAGTCTGGTCAAGCACATACAGAGGTCTGTGACTGCTTCTCAGTTCCAGGAGCAAGTGTGTTGCTCATCCTGCAGCTTTGCTGGTAAATACCAGGTAACTGTTGAACAGCAAATGTAATTCTGTTACAGCCCTGAAGTGGGCAGATGCAAGTTGCCAGACTGTTTTCCCTGCATTGTGCTCTGGAGCTGGATAATAACAGGGCCTCATTTCTGTGACAGAACAACCAAAATACTTCTTTACTCTCTTGGAGCCTTTTCCTCAGAGACTCGTGACAGACATGCAGCAGCTGCAAAGGGCACAGAGTTGTTTGTGCTTTTTGTAACGTAGTTTTTTTCTGCCTTTGGAAACTGATGTCCTAGATTAGGCTGCAGCTAGTGACAAACTCCACTACTTGAAGACTTGTGGGTGCTTCACCTTTGTAAAAAAGAAATGTGACTCCTTCACCTATGCTGTTTACTGCCCCCAGTTTGAGTTTGGTGGTTTTTCACTTTTTGAAATATTTATATATTCTCCTTAGTGCTGTGTATGTAATGTCCAGTAGGCAAGTATTTTCCAGAGGTTTTATGCCTACATCTAAGGAAAAAAAAAAAGATGGCCAGTTAAAAATCCTTGTTTGAAATAGTAGTCAGAATACATCACTAGATAGCGGTGTAAAGTCAGAAAGAAGAATAGTTTTGTAATTGAAGTGTACCTCAAAATGCACATTTAAAACTTGATTCCATTGATGAAAAAAGGCAAGGAATGGATAAATGCCTTTTTTTTTTAATATGTTGCTTTAATTGTAAATTTTAAAAAGGCAGAACTTTCAGAGAAGCCAAGGATTAATTTACTATTCATAATTTGCATCAATACTTTTTAAAATCACTAGTGTTGGGGAATGTAGCAAACAGTAAAGAAATCAACTGTAATGTTCTGCTTGATTACAAAATATCTGAATTATTAGGATAATATATTCTAGAAGGAGTATGAACAGTCTAAATGATTGTCTTGTAGCAGACTCCATCATGGCTGTTCAGGAAGTTCGGGGGTTTTTATCCTCTTTTAGCAGTTCCAGATTTGGGACATCTTTAGAAGTACAATGCCAAATAATTAAAAAAGTAGAACTGTGTGGATTTTTATTGTTGTTTTTTAAACTCCCATAAAATTTTAAGATAAAATTTGGTTTATGGTCTAGTTAGTTTCAAATTATCCATTGCAAAATAAACAGCACGTGTCAACAGCCTTTGCTGTTAGTTAATGAAGTCTCTTAAATGTTTATAAATGAGCAACTTAGCAGTGCTCAGTACAGAAGTACATGATGCCAAGGTCTCTCTGAGAAGGCAGATGGTTTTTTGAGTGAAATCAGTGCAGATTTTGTAGATCCACAGGTTGTTACTTTCAGCTCTATTAGTGGTGATGATGACGATATCGTTTTTGCAGAAGTAGATTCAAGTCAGTTAAGACGTCAGCTTTGTGGTGGCAGCCAAGCAGCCATTGAAAGGATGATCCATTTTGGAAGAGAATTGCAAGCAATGAGTGAGCAACTAAGAAGAGAATGTGGCAAAAACACAGTGAATAAGAAAATGCTCAAGGTATTTTTAATCTTGAAACTGTGGTGTTAAGGTGAATAACTGTGCTGCCCAGCAGGAACTTCCCACAGCATGTGGTGCTGGAATACTGTTCTGCTTTAACTTCTGTCATTTTTTTTTGTGTATGTGTGTGTCTGTCTGAGAGCAGTATTCTGGTCAGCTGTGGTGTAGCACTGTCTCCTGTCTTGTCTGTGTAGCACATGCATAGGGAAGATATTTTTGTGCTGTAATACAATTAAACCCAGAAATTAATTTAGCACTTTCCTTACTCTCATTTCTGACCATGTAACTTGACCTCTTGAATCAAAGTGCTGGTTTTGGCTCTAATGATAAATGAACCACCTGAGGATTGGTAGAGATGCCCAAAATGTGGTCTCTTTAGTACTCTGCATGTTAATTAGTTTACCTTGCTTTGAGACTGCTCTGGAAAAGAATTCTCTGGCCAAAGACTGCATGCAGTTTTCAGTCTGTTTTCTCTTGCCCCATCACTTACTAAAACACTGCTACCTTTTGTCTTGCTGTTGGGAAGAACACTGCTTGCTCCAAGGGGAACAAGCCCTGTCACAATTTTTTTATCCTTTTGTACTGATAGGCACTGACAGTTACTTTCATGATATTGAATCAAAATAGGCGAATAGTCCTTGTTTTCACTAGTAGCATATATCTGTGAAATGTAATAAAAATCATCTTCCCGCAGGATGCATTCAGTTTACTCGCGTATTCCGATCCCTGGAGCAGCCCTGTTGGAAATCAGCTTGACCCAATACAAAGAGAACCAGTGTGCTCTGTACTTAATAGTGCAATACTAGGTAAGTGCCTCTCTCTTGTCCTATACAAGCGACCCTACTGCTCACCGTGCATCACGCTCACTGAGTGAGTAATGAAGGATAGCAATGTTAGGATACGCTCTTTCAGGAAGACGGGTAGTTTTGGGGGGCACTTTAATGTAACAGGTGCTTGTCTGTTTTTATTGTTCAGCCCAAAAATGGGCCTGTTCAGTAATGGTGCTTATGCAGGGAATTTGAAAATGTCACTTTGTTGCTCCTCTGCTGTCTGGCTCTAAGAGCAAACTTTGCAAGTAAACACAGGAATTTTTAAATGAGTGATTGAAGCAAGCTTAAATATCAAGGTTTCAGTGTATTGCTATGAAATTAATCAGGTATTTTAACTGCCACTGTGATTCTTTTCCAGAGACTCACAATCTGCCAAAGCAACCACCGCTTGCCCTGGCCATGGGACAGGCATCACAGTGTCTAGGATTGATGGCTCGGTCAGGCATTGGATCCTGTGCGTTCGCCACAGTGGAAGACTACCTACACTAGCTATGCATTTGAAGGTCTGAAAGGTGTTGTGGCATATTCAACATGGAAAGTAGACCAGCTCTGCTGACTGGAATTTGGAATTTTAATTATGTACTAAGGACAAGTCTGTCGCTTTATGTTGCTTCCTAGTTTACAGCATGATGCAAATGATTTCTAACTTAGTGTTAGGAGAAGATTTCCATCTTTAAACCTCTTAGACAACTAAGAGTTGAAAATATCACTGGTAACGTCAGACATCCAAATTGACAAGTACCAATCCTTTAAACGATTGTCCAAAACAAACCAAAAATCCTGCTACCTTGTGGTGGGACGGAAGACTAGAAAACATGGATGTATTAGCATGTGGGTGATGTAAATGTCAAGCAGGATGACTTGCCAACCTCCACCCCCATTGTTACATAGTTCAATCAGTGTAATTTGCAAAATGCAAATGGTTTGGATATATAGTGTTGATGGGAAGAAATGATATTTTTTAATGTGTACTGTAAAACTTGAATTACTCAGGAGCTGAGTGAATATGTTTGTTGCTACTTACAATCCCAACCTGTTGATCTTAGTAGTTTTTTGTTTTAACATGGTCTTTTCAACTTTGTTTCCTTGTTTAACTACAGACAGCTTCTGTTGTGTAGGCTCACCAGTTTAACTGTTGTATTATAACAGTATTACATGTCAACACAGTGTGGTTATGACCTATTTATATAAAAACCAAATATTTAGTCAATTTACAGTCTTAATTTAATCTTTGTACACCTTGCATTTTTAAAAGTGCTTAAATAGTACTATATTGCAATAAAATGTAGTGATATCATAATTAACCAGCCATTAAAAACTTACTTCTACATACATGGTAGCATGGAGTTGTATGCTACATTGTCTTGGTTCTAGAGTTCCCTCCTAGAACAGCAGTTCTTACGCAGACCCGTGAATGTGGCTCTAGCCAGGAATGCCCCTTCCCTGCAGCAGCTGGGCTGTCAGAAGTTAAAGGCTTGCTGTGTTCTTGCTACAAAGTGAGTCTAGCTAGGAGGGTCAAGTCCGTGCACTGACAGAATCTTATTCAAGCAGTAAGGGATTTTCCTTTACTGCTTGAAAGTAACCATCAGGCTTGAGGGAAGTAAGTGTCCTGCTGTGTGAGCTGAGTTAGTGATTCTGCTAATAGGGTAGAGCTTCCCTTTAGAGATGCAAGTAACTAAAGCTGCTGTAAGAAATGCAGCATCGGCAACAGTAGGTACAACATGGCTCATCTTTATTCTCTGCAAAGGCATTGCCTCACAGAGGCAGCTCAACAAGCCTGGTCCTAACACCAGCTATTCTACAACACTGCCTGGTCCTGTTGCTTTGTAGCTTCCCCAAGAACTTCTGAAAGGGGGAGAGAACAGGAAACTCTGATCAGGCAAAGCTTGGTGAAGGTCAGTGCTTTCTGGTAGGTGGAGCTGAAAGCAAAGTGATGATGAAATGGGGAAAAAAACACATTGTTTTGAGAGATTAACTTTCAGTAAAAGTCCTTAATATCATCTTCTGAAAAAGCTGTTTTCAGACTCAATTTTTAGTCTGTGTTGCAATCCAACGTTTCTTAAACCTTGCTGCTTTTTCCTTTTTTTCTTGCCCTTAAGAAAAAAATTAATAGCTGTTAGTTAGTTGCCCCTCTGCTGGAGAAGCAGCAATCCATTGACTGCTGCAGCATTTCAGAACAGAACAACCCACTGGAAAGCTGATAAACTTCCTATGGTATTTTACATACACCAGGTGCCTTCAACTGGCCAGGGGTACCAGCCTGCACCACGCTCCTTCAGAAGGGGGATGCAGGTACAGCGGTGCTTTCAGTGATGGAGCAGAAGTGAAAAGCAGACCCTGCATGCTTTAAGGATCAGTAACTTTTGCCTCTGGTGTTCGAGAGCCTCACAGACTATGTGGGTGTGAGTCTGTCCCCAACAGGTGCTATTTCTCTGTGCTCACACAGAAGTTCTGGGAATTTGATATCCCTGCTCTTAAGTTTTACACATACCTGGAACACCTTCGAACAGCTCAGAGGCTGGAGGCTGAAACAGCAGTTTCTGAAGTATTTATTTCACCACAGCCATGGCTCTAGGCCCCTATGTGCTTTCTTAATGTACCAAAAATGAGGCAATTTTTTTCCAAGTTGTGTCTCCACCCTTTCCAAAGGCATGCTCATGACACCCACTGAGGCTGTCATGCTGTGCTGCCTTTCCCTTACTATTAGTCTTTAGTTAGAAGGTCACAAGCTGCAGCCCTCTGACATGGGAACACTGGTTTTACTCAAGTGTACTTTTAACCACATATGCAAAAGTAGCACCCACTTTGACTTTTTATACTCACCCCAAGATTTGTCCACAAACTGAACTGCAGCTTTTTTAACTGGGTCTTTCTTGTTTGCAAGGGAAAAAAATTCATTTGCTGAAATGGAAACGAGTGTTAATCACCAAGTTTAAGCCAGACAAGACTAGATGCAGACCTGCCTAACCAAAACTGCTTACCCTGTACCCGGTTGGCGTGTGGCCCATAGAGCTGAGCATTTAGAAAGTCTTTGGCGAGCTGTTGGTGGAGGCCTGTTAAACTCTGATCTTTTAAGCACACAGCTGCGTAGTTTCCTTTTGACCTAGTTAAAAAGACAGATGTAAATCCCTTTACCATGGTTACAGAACCCAGAACAACACACACATTAGTGTCAAGCTTTGCTACTTGAGCACAACTGCAGCAGTTGCTGGTTTCTGATGCTCAGATGAGCTTGGTGGCAGTATTAAAAAAAAATTAAAAATGGGACCAAAACTCCAAAGCTGTTGTTATATGCCTTTGTGTGCCCCGAGTCATTCCTTGGGAGTCTTGAACTAGTTCTCCCAGAAGCCAGTGCTATTCCTCTCTAGGGACATCAGTGACAAAGAAATAAAGAGGAAAAAGAAAAAAAGATTGAAATGCAGGAATTCAGTGCTAAACCACCCCACTTGTAGCAGCACATAACACAGTGTGTACTGCCCAGTTATCTCATAGCAGTTCTAGATACCTAACATATAAAAATTAATTATATTATAGATTTTGTTATATATATATATGTATATGCACGCACACATTAAGGTTGAGAGAATTGGGGATGTTCAGCCTGGAAAAGAGAAGGCTTTAGGGTGGCCTAATTGCAACCTCCCAGTAACTGAAGAGAGCCTACAAGAAAGATGAGAGGGACTTTGTACAAGGGCATGTAGTGACAGGACAAGGGGGAATGGCTTCAAACTAAAAGAAAGTAGGTTTAGATTAGATATTGGGAAAAAAATCTTTACTGTGAGGGTGGTGAGGCACTGGAACAGGTTGCCCAGAGGAGCTGTGAATGTCCAATCCCTGAAGGTGTTCAAGGCCAGACTGGATGGAGCTCTGAGCAACCTGGCCTAAGAGGAAAGTGTTGCTGCCCATGGCAGGGGGGGTTGCTAGTAGGTGATCTTTAAGTAAGGTCCCTTCCAATCCAATCCATTCTATGATTCTACATAAGCATGCCATAACAGAAGATATTAAAGATGCTTATAGCACATAACTATGCTTTCAATCAGAGGAAGAGCAGGGGAAACATGAAGTGCAGAAGAGGGTACAGCCATGCAGTGACAGAACAGCTGCTGCAATGCCCCATCCCCCAGGCAAAAGCAGCCACATGGGGCAGACACCCTGGATCATCTCTTCCTCCTCCTACCTGGCACCCTTGCTTGCCTTGCCTTTCTTCACCTTCGTTTTGGCTTGGCCTTGCCCTTGGGCCTGGCCTTGTTTCTGTTTCTCACCCTCATCTTCAAGTTCTTCACCTGAAGTAACTTTAAAACAAAATTTCCCAAACATTACGAATCAAAACTGATAAGAGGAACAGGAATTAAACAACAAGCATTTTTCAGAAGCACTGAGTAGTAAGAAGGGCTTTGAGAAAGAAGGGAAGGAACATGCCTCAAGGGAGCAACCCAAAGTTGGTGGCTGCTAGCCAGCTTTCCTCTTCCTTGGCATCAACAAAATGGGATTCATTACAGGACAAAAATTCAGTGCAACACAACAGCTACAGGTAACCCACAAATGGGAGTCCAGCCTCAGCTTCAGTCTCACTTTGTTCTCAGCTCATCTCTTTGTTATGCCAATAGATCTTTTTTAAATAAAAGGAAGAAAAAGTAGCAGTTACACCATCCAGCAATATAATTAGGTGAGGTCTGGATGAGAGAATTGTTTAAATAAAAGGGTTTTTGTGAAGTACTTTGAAGTACAGATGAAAACAGCAGTGATAAACATTCTCGACTCTTGATTTTGTAGTTCTGAATTTGAAAAAAAGTTATTTCATATTTTACAGATGCTATTAAATTGTAGTTTGATGCGTAAAGCATCAAGATGATTTAACAACTCTATCCATGAATAGCCTTTATAATTTACACAAGTGCTGAATATTAATCCACCTCTGGTAATCCTTGCTTTTTCAGCTATAACACCGGCTCAAGATTTCCTTAAACACCTCAGGCTATTTTAACTGAAATCACCGTACAGCAAGAAACTTCTGTAAAAGGCCCAAGAATTAGATTAAATGTATCTTTAGATTTTCCCTTGGGAAAAGAGAGTCTGTCCGTGTTTCAGACTTTCACAAGGTGTCTTTACCAGGGCACTCCCCATTGCAGCTCTGGCACAGAAATGAACTCCTGAGATATCAGAAGCGCTCCACGCTAGCAAAGTGAGCTGTAGCATACCTTGGTCATCTGCCGGAGCCTGCTCAGCAGGTCTGAGGAGCAAGGAAAAAGCAACAGGTTACTCTTCCAATTCACACTCACTTCGTCTACTCCCGTTTCAAGCCCGGCCTCCCAATGCCAGGACCCGGCTGGGCAGCATCCACCGAGACAGCCCAGAGCCCCCTACACCCCCTCACCCTTTGGGCAGCGAGACACCCCAGAGCCCCCAACACCCCCTCACCCTTCGGGCGGCGCAGGGGTGGCGGCCACATCCTCCAGTTCCTGCAGCTCCTGCAGCACGGCCTCGGGCAGCAGCCTCCGCTTCTGCAGGGGAGAGGGGAGTCAGGCGGGCATTCACCCACTGCCCGCCCGGAGCCAAGTGGGAGCGGGTGGGGGGACGCCGCTGTACCTTCTGCTCCGCGAATAGCTCCTGGTGCCGCCGCCGCTTCTCCTTCAGCAGCTCCCGGTGCCTGCGGGGAGGCGGGAGGCGCCGTCAGCACGGCTGCGGAGTAGGAGCGGCATAAGGGGGGGAGGAAGGAAGGGAATAAGACGGGGAGAAGGGGGGAATAAGAGGGGGGGAAGGTGGGATAACGGAGGACGGCAAGAAGGGTGAAGGGGAAGAAGGGGGGATAACGAAGGGTAAGAGGGGTGAAGGCAGGATAAGAGAGGGGACGGCGGAGTAAGACAGGTGAAGGAGTTAGAAGGAGGGTAAGGGGGTGTTAGGGGGGGATAAGAGGGGAATAAAGGGAAGACTAGAGGACGGTAAGGAGAGCCGTAAGAGGAGAGCAGGGGTAGTAAGGGGGGGTGGGGGTGTAAAAGGGGCGAAGAGGGAGCACGGGACAAGAGGAGTGAAGTGCCGGAGAATGGTCGTTCGGGGTCCATGTGTGTGTCCGCACCTCCGGGCCGCCTCCCCCACAAGCTTCCTCTCAGCCTCGGCCGCCTCCCTCGCCACGCCGAAGGACACCTGCTCCGGGGCCTCGTCCGCCTCGTCCTCCGAGGAGGAGGCCGGGCTGGGCAGCGCGGCGGGAGCCCTGCGCTTGCCCGGGGCCGCCGCCGCCTTCCCTCGCCGCGCCATCGCCATGGTCCCTGCGCCGCCCGCCCCGGAACCGCTCCCGCCTTCCGCCGGGGAATGCCGTGCGCCAGGGTACCCCCGCCTGCGTGCCCCGCCCACCCGGACGCGCGCCGACAGACACAGGACACCGGGAAGTGGCGGCGGCGGGTCCCGACCGCCCCTTTATTGCCGTGAGGACCGTCCGGCGAGACCCGCCGCCTCCTCTCGGCCGCCCGCTCCCTCCCCGCCCGCCGTGCCTCCGCCGCGTTGGTCCCGTCGGGCCGCTCCCGGAGCTCAGGAGATGATCTCGGTCTCGTGTCGCGCCAGCGCCGGCGGCAGCGTGGTCCCGCAGGGGCCCGGGAAGTGAAACCTGGAAGGGAGCGGCCGGTTTGAGGCGCGGGCAGCCACCAGCGCATCCTGCTTTTTACTGCTTCGTTACCTGGCAGCGCCCCAGCACCTCTGGTAGGGGGGGAGAGGAGGGAAGAGGGAGAGAGGGTTGTAGACCTTCTGGGGCCCAGGGACAGACTTCACCCCTACACTTAGGAAACCGCAGTTGTGCCTTTAGTAAAACTTAATTCCACCATGAAAAAACTATCATCCGTTCTTACTTATTAAAATAAATTAATATTTCTTAAACGTTGGGCAGAAAACTATACCATATTTGTCTAAAGCCAGCATTTTAGCAGTTGGATGCAAAAGACAACGAAGGTGGAGGGGCCTAAAGGCAGCTACTTTGAACAGCTTTACCTGAATCTGTTTGTGGCAGGAGTAGCTTCCATGTTAAATTCTGCCACTGGTACTCCTCTGGCAGAGACCTGAGGGGCAAACATGGCTGCAGGATAAACCACGGAGGAGGTCCCGACCTGCAGGGATGGGGAGACAAATCACAAGTGGAGCAGGACAGTGGTTAAAACAGACAAATCCAACCCAACCCCTTGGGTGAGGGTCCTTCTCAGAACACCCGATGTGCAAAAGCCACAAAAGCATGGAAGATCCCTACAGAAATTAAACCAAACCAGTATCTCCAATTAGTGTTACTGCATATGTAACTATTTAACATAGCGTAACAATCAGGAATTGTTTCTCTGATACAGCCCAAAGAAGCTTGTTTGTGCATAAGAACTCTAGATGAAAAAAAAATCCCAGAAACAAAACTTTGTCTCCAGGGAAAAAAAAAAACCAAGACATTCCTTGTGTTACTTGAGATTATTCAGTAAAGAGAACACAATATTCTGAGCAAGTGTTTTGCTCGGGGATCTGGAACCTACATGGCGCATGTAAACTACCTCACAAAAAAGGCAGCACAGAATAACAGCTAGCTACCTTCTTACAACATTTCATCACTTCCTTTCTTTTAGACTGAGCATCAAAATAATTGTATTTTTCACTGTTTGAGAAATTAGAACTATAGTAAAGTTTGGGTTGGAAAGGATCCTAAAGATCATCTAGTTTGAATTCCCCTGCCATGGGCAGGAACACCTTTTGCTAGACCAGGTTGATCAGAGCCCCATCCAACCTGGCCTGGAACACCTCCAGGGATTGGGCACCTACAAATTCTCTGGGTTCCTATAAGGTCTCCCCAGAGCCTTCTCTTCTCCAGCCCTCTCAGCGTGTCTTCATAGAAGAGGTGCTTCAGCCCCCTGGATCATCTTCATGGCCCTCCTCTGGACTCAGTCCAACAGTTCCATGTCCTTCTTACACTGGGGGCACCAGAACTGTATGCAGTATTCCAAGTGGGGGTCTCACGAGAGCAGAGTAGAAGGGGTGTGAAATTCAACAGCTAAACAATATTGGCTAACCCCTAACACCTGTGTATCTGTTAATTTCTGAGCAGTCTGTGTATATGTCCAAACTTCAAGGTCTTTTAATGTTTTACACTTGACACTAGAGAGTCCCTCAGGGGCTTTTAGCTCCTCAGAGAAGCACAGATACATCTGCTTTACCCAGGAGGTACAACCTCCTTAGCGTGGCTTCTCTGCCAGTTCAGAGGACAGGTAATGAAAGCGCCACTCACTACCAAGCAGAGGTCACAAATATCAAGCTCCTTCTCGACTGCTGTGAGAACATCAGGATCCAGGGCTTCACCAAACCACACGACATGAGGACGCAGGAGCCCATTGCAGCCATCTTCCTCACACCTGTTTAAACATCACAAAGGGACAGCGTTACACTACTGACATGGACCTTGCAGGCTGCAAAATGTCAAAGCAGTTTTCATACTCACTTGGGCACTCCTTACCTTCCATCACTCTCTCCCTTCTCCTTCACAGCCCTCCCTGCACCCTCCCCTACTATGTGCTGGGCTGATTCCACGTGCTGCGGCTGATTCCACGCTACACGTGTTGGAATTACACGTGCTGCCTGGTCACATGGAACACGTTGCTGAACAGTTTTTCAACACAGATACTTAACTGTGTCTTCCCCTTACTCATCTCCTGAAATGCATGAAAATTAAAACCTCGGCCTCCATTTAACAAATTGGCTAACGGGTTTTTAAGGACAAAGTGAGCCAAAGAACAGAAGCATCGTGTTAGCCTCTTCTTCGGAACCGGATGAAAAATATGGTGGATTTTTGCATCAGCAACTAACTAAGGAAAAGCTTCAGCCAGAATAAAAAAGCACCATGGCACATTTAATGCCTGCAAGGGACTATGCAGTGACTGTACCCCAACATAGTATTCCAGACTAACAGTGGGTGGCACCTGCAAAGTAACAAAATGTTTACTGTTGTAGCCCTCATTTTTTTTGCTGCAGTTCTCCTACTACTACACTTACTACAAGCCCCATGAATTTAGGCATGTTTCATCTTGGTGCTCAAGTACACAAATGTGCAATGCCTTTGGCATTGTGGTGACTTCTAGTATACACTCCTGTTGGCAGCTGTGCCCTGTAACTTTAGACTCAGTTCTCTGGGGCAAAGTCCCACACCTTTCTCTCCTGTGGAATGTCTCTGTGTCCTTCCAAAACAACATGAACAGTAACACAAGCCTTTGAGATGCACAAAGCACGAAGAGGTAACAACAAAAAACAAATCAGTCCATACATACTGAGGAAGGTCTTCAACTGGAATCGCAGCATCTGCTGTTTCAGGATCTGGAGCTCTGAAGGTACAAAATTGAAATACACATCCAATCATAAAAAGTGCACTTTATATATTAATAAAAACTTAGTTTTCTTTAAAGCACACTCTCCAATCAAGCAATCTTTGCAACTCCAGCCAACTTCAACACCTACTGCAGCCCTAAAATACCACACACATGGCAGGCAGGCATTGGTCCAGAATTATCCCAGAGCTGAGTGACTGTCAAGACTGTTCAAGACTGTCAAAGGCACAACAATTATTTATGTAGCTATCTAAAGCTCTGGTGAAATGCAAAGGGAAAAAAACTCCACTAGAAATCTTTGAGCATATGCCTGGCCCATACCCCTGCCCACTTCCATTTTAAATGATGAAAGAAAGAAGATGGCTAAAAAAAGGAGACTGAAGGATACTGGGAACTGATGCTTCCATCCTGATTGTTTCACATATCTGTATTTTGAGATCTGTAATCAGGAGAATCTTACTGATGAGTTGAAGGTCAAAAGCTACAAGGTGCTCAAGAGATGCAGAAGAGGAAAGTGCATGTATAAGACTATGACAGTTCAATTTAAGGAATAAGAATCTGACTTAATTAAAAAAAATTGAAAGTGAAGAGGATGGGAGTAAAGACGCATTCTCGCAAATAGTCAATGTTTGATATGAGAGTTGCAGATCAGCTGAAATTGTTCTAATTTGTTCTAATAATGTATCATGTTGTGCTGACTTAAAGGTTAACAATCAGTCATTTACAGGAGTTAATGGCACCATGGGTGCTCACTGGAGTTACCAAACAGTATCCTCATGTTTCAAAACAGCTGTGTAAAATTTAAGCATTATTAATACTAAAGTAAAACGGGGTGGTTGGCTGGAACTCCCATATGCTCTTAAAATGGCTCCTCTGCTACTGAACAGCAGACAAAGTAAAAAGCACAGAGAGTTTGCAAAGCAGACACATTACCCTTTCCCGGCCAACGCAGGGCATATGGGGCTCTTGTAATTCGCAGCTACGTTTCCACAGCTGGTGCACCGAGTTTTAAATAAACTACCTGAAACACACCAAGAAAAAACATCAGGGATGAAGCAATGGCTCTAAGGTGCGGCTGTACAAGCAAGTAGTTGTGTTTATCCCAGACAGCCTTTATTTGACTTTGAAGACTACACCTGGTGGGTAACCTACTACATAGATGTAACAGCTGGCAGCATTAAAAACGAGATGCTGTTTACACAGCACATACCCACACTCTTTTGTTGAGCAACCCAAGGTGACTAGTGTCACCATTAAGCATACACCCAGCTCAGCAAAGGTAGACGAAGCCCTGTCAGCTGAAAAGCCGCAGTGAAAACAGCAGCAGTCCCACTAAGCTATGATGTATCACCTTGTTCTACCTCAGGACATGAGTAATACGCAGTCCTGTAACAGTATTTTGGAGAAAAATCATAATATAAAATATCACTGAGGGAGATTTATTTCTGCTTATTGCTTTTCCCATTAGATCAGAAACATTGTCTTTCAAAAGAAAATAGAAATACACAGATTAACACCATTTTGTTTCATGCAAAACTCCCCAACCCCAAGACTTGTAGCATTAGTAACATGCTGTAGAGATATGCAATATTACCAAGAATTTTAAATTGTTTCCATTTTGTAAAAAATACAGATAACCAAAATTAAACTATATCCAAGGCTTCACCCTTGGATCCACAACTGCAGAAAAGTTTGCGCAGGTTTCTTGTGTCCAAATCACAAAAGCAGCAGTGGGAAATCCCATTTAAACCTTTTGTGATACTCAAGTTAAAAAGCACCGTAATGCTGGAGGGCCAGGATGGGTCTTTGTCCTGGGAGATTTCCACTCTGCGCAGGGCCTGCAGAGTGGAGAAAAGAGGACTGGGACACCTCTAAGGGTGGAGAAGGGCTTCCCCACCCTCCTTCTCTCCACACTTGTACATTTCCTCAGATCCAAAAGCCCCAGTGACCTCCAGGTGCTGCACCTGCGTTGTGCTCTGGCACTTTGTGGGAGAGAGGGTGGGAGTGAGGAATGCCACTGACTACAGGAAAAAGATAGGGAGTACCACTGTGTGTAGGAGAGAAAGGTTAGAGAATCTCATCCGTTTCCAGATCCTTTGTCCTCCTGTAGCCAAGGACTGCACAGGTGGGGACAGGGCAGAACAGGACAGAGGGAAATCACCAGGGCTGGTGAGGCCAGTCTTGCCAATTCATCTTTTACTGGTGGCAGTACTGGTCTGGCACCACCACTACCACACAGTGGGAGTCCTTGGGGATTTTTTTCCCCGTCTCTAAGTGAAATCAGCCAAGTGTCACAATCAGATGTATTCAAGTGGATCTGAGGCAAAACTGAGCAAGCGGGAAGGGAGAACCAGTTCCTGTGTATTGCCAAAAATCCATTAAAAACGGGAAGATGAGGTTCTGAGATTTTAAAGATGAGAAATAAAAGAGGATATGAAGTACCTGAAACAGCTTCCAAAAGAGAACAGGGTGTGACTGTAAATAACTTTATGCAAGTTATAATTTTAAAGATAAATTTCTTTTGTCCCAGTACTTCTCCTAATTTATCTTCTCTCCATTGCTCACCCTGGGTTTTCTGGCCTGTAGCAAAGAGGTAAACCAGCTCATACCATGAATTTCTAAGAGGTGCTTTGTGCCTGCCTTCCTGTGCAGTTCATCAATATTCTGAGTAATGACCACAACGCTCCTTCCTTGCTTGCTCAGACGCTTTTCACACTCTGCAATGGCAATATGTGCTGGATTTGGATGTTTACTCAACATCACTTCCCGTCGGTAGTGGTAAAATTCCCACACACGAGAAGGGTTTCGCGCAAAAGCCCCGGGAGTAGCCAGCTCCTGGAAAAGACATAACAAGTCACTCTACAAAAAAAGGGCAAGAAAATCCCTTCCCCAGATGAAGCCTGCTGGATCACTGCCACTTACACTGCTACCGGCATCACAAGCTAAGGAGAAGCAGAGTATTTATAACCACATGCAGTTGATAAGAATATAGTTCAATAGCCCTTACGAGGATGACAAGTCAAGGTGTCTTATAAAATTAGAAAATAACTTATAGAAATAGTGTGGTGTGTGGGTTTACACAGTACACTTGGACCTTTTTCTGTGCTGCCCTACCAAACTATCAGGAGTTTAGTACAGCCCGAAGGAAACCGAGATATTTCAATGCACGCAATTTTTTTGATATCGAAAACTCTCTTTTCCACAGCAACCATAAAACACAGCATAATGTGGATATATTTCTTCTGCTAGCAATTTCTTTTCTGCACTTTTAAGCCTAATATGAGCTAAATTACACACATTGTCAAAACCAAAGTCCAATGTCTTGTCTTTTATGTGCTGGTAAAATTGAATCTCTGCTTTTCATAGCAACTTTAACTTTGCCTTATCTTTTCTAAAATCAGGAAGTAGCTCCATCTAACGTCTCAATGCACAGTTCTGCTGATATTAAAACACTGAATGCAAGTTTCTGTTGCAGCAGGACCAGTCATTTATACACATGCAGGTTTTATTTGCATTGCTAGTCACTTGAAAGAAAAACTCATCTTTAGATTCAAACCACCTTGAAAAACTCACCTCTCTGACTCCTTTTTAACTTTAACAAATCTTTCAGGAATGTTGTAATTAAAAACCATATAAAAGGCAAATGTGATTGCAGTGTTTGGAGCAGCAAGTACTGACGGCATAACAGTTGCTTGAAACATCTGCGGCACCAACCAGGATGAGACTCACGAGGCACCTGTACAGCTGGCACAGTTTGGTGCTTGCAGCTGCACCACTCCACCCTCAGTGTCTGTTCCCACCGTCTCTCCCATCCCAGTGGCTCCCAGTATTGGCAAGATCATTCCAGTGAGAGAGACAGAGCTTGTGGAAGAGTTAAAGATGTAAGGAACCTGCCCCCAAACAGAACAAAAAAGTCCTAAAGCATTTTTAAGAAGTATTATGAGACACCAAGATTAAAAGAAAATAACTAGTCGCTATCATTGGTTCTTCCTTTGCTAGTTTGGTAAAGGCTCTTAGGAGTTTAAAAGAGGAAAGGTGCCACGATGTAGGAAAAACCTTGAGGGTATTAAAAGATGAGCAAACAGCTGAACTGCAAGGCAGCAACAAAACAAGGACAGTAGAAACATCCAGAGCTGCCTGCAAGAATGCTGTTTTACCCAAGCAACTGATAAAATGAGTGACAGAAAAGAAGTTGCAGCTGCACCAAACAGACCCCCAGGTCGCTGGGAAGAGCTGCAAAGGCAGCTGTAGGGAGAGCTCTGTCCCTGCCAAACTGCTATGGGAGCACTTCCACTGTCTCAGGTCCTCAGCTGCTTCTGACCTTCCACACTCACCTACCTGATGGACAGAGAAGCACGGCTGCACAGGCATGGGGCCACCAGTACCTACCTGGGCTTGCCACTTTCTCCAGAAACCTCCAGCCCCCCTGAAGGTAGGAACGCCACTCTCCGCACTGACCCCGGCTCCTGTGATAATGGCAATGTGCTTCGCCTTGGCAAACACTTCTCGAAAATCAGCCATATCTGTGCGTGGGGAGGGAAAATAAACAGCTGCTCAAGCACTTACACTTTTACATAAGAGCAACACAGACAGTGCTGGCACACTTATGCATCCAGAAATGGCTTCTAGGTACACCTCCCATGACTTTAATTTCAGAATACCAACTGGTTTCTGAGTTTCTGTATGTTGGAATTTGAAGGGCAATTCCTGGGGATCCTCAAAAATGCATATGAGCAAGCTCAGTAGGGCCACATGTGCTAAACTATGAATATAGTCAAGATTTGAAAGCAGAGCCTTTAACTGAAACCAGACACTAGATGCTACCTCGATAACAACTGTAGCTACCACGACCCAGGAACAGTTGCTTCCTAATTGTTAGGCAAGATCCTAAGATGAAAAAAAAACCCCATTTGTTTCACAAAGTATCACCTTCAAAATTGAGGTAAATTGGGAAAACCCATTTCCTTCTGAGGCATCCTGCCCACTTCCTAGGTTTGCAACTAAGAAACAGGTTTACAACTATTTTTATTTTTGAACGTATTATTCCCTTCATTTTTCCATGCACGGTAAAGTACTTTGGGGAATACATGGCAAATTGCGTTTTTCTGTGAGCCAAAACAAGATTAAAAAGGAACAGGTTAGCTACAGAAAAACCAAAATGTCTCTTCCAGTTGACTTCAGACACTAATTTTAAAACAACATATTTTAGAATCACAAAATGGCTGAAATCAGAAGGGACCTCTGGAGAGCACCTAGTTCAAATCCCCCCACTCAAGCAGGGTCAGCCAGAGCAGACCACCCAGAACAGTGTCCTTTTGGATGGGTTTTGAGATCTACAAGGATGGAGACTCTATAACCTTCCTGCACGACTCATGCCAGTGTTTGACCACCCTCCCAGTAAACAAACTGTTTTCTTGTGTTCAGATGGAATCTCGTGTGTTTTGATTTTTGCCCATTGCCTCATGTCCTGTCACTGGGCATTGCTGAGAAGAGTCTGCCTTGTCTTTGCCCCCTCCCCATCAGGTGTTTTTATGCATTGATTAGATCCCCTCATGAGCCTGATCTCCTCCAAGCTGAACAATGCCATCTCTTCAGCCCCTGCTCGTATGTCAGATTCTCCAAGACATCTTTGTGGCACTTCGCTGGCGTCTCTCTAGTATGCCCCTGTTTCTCTTGCCCTGGGGAGCCCAGCACTGGACCCAGCATGTCAAATGTGTCTCACCAGGGCTGAGCAGAAGAGAAGGATCACCTCTCTGGAGATGTTCTACTGAGTACAGCCCAGACACCCATTAGCCGTCATTGCCACAGGGGTTCATCGCTGGCTTATGGTCAACATGGTGTCCACCAAGACCTCCAGGACCTTTCCTGCCAAGCTGCTTTCCAGTTGGTCACCCCCAGCTGGTCCTAGTTCCTGGAGCTATTTTTCCCCAGGGCAGGACCCTCTGGAATATCAGCCACTCCTTCCAGCTTTGTATCGTCTGAAATCTGAGAGTACACTCTGCGTTGTCATCCAGATCATGAATGAAAATGTTAAACAATATTGGCCCCAGGATGGACTCCTACAGTGCAACACTATTGACTCTCCAGCTGAACTTGGAGCTGCTGATCACAACCCTAATCCCCACAATTTACTATGTGGTCTTAAAAAAAAAAAGACAAACAAAAAAAGACCACACAAAAACCTACCCAAAGGCAGGTAAGTTCCTGTAAGGAGAAATAATTCCTGGAGAAGTCCCAAGACCCACAGCACAAGAGCCACAGAATTGGGGAGAGAACGCTACTATTCTGCTGCCACGTCCACTGTTGTAAACAAAACCTCACAAGTCCTGAATGTGTAAAGCTCAAGCCAAAAACCCTCCCAGCCTGGTCTCTGACAGCAACCAAACGCTGATGCTCAAGGTGCCAGAAAAAGCAAGTGCACCTCAGCACTTGGGGGTTTGCTTTGTACCTGTTAAGTTCTCTGTGCAGTTTTCAAGTTAAGGTACACTCTCAAATTAAAAACACAAAACCAAAACATCCCCATACAAAGAAAAGGAGAATATTTACTCCTGCTAGCCTGCACAGGGCTGCTGGGGTTACCCAACAGCCTGCTCCTGAGCCGTTACAAATGCTCCAGGCCCTCCATAATTCTTGTACAAAGAAATAAGGAATGAGTTTTAATACTCATTAGGATTATGAAAAGGAAATGCAATTAACTAGTGTATGTTTATGTGCGTAAATTATAAGCACTAGAAACACGTCACAGGACAATCATGCTGACTGCAATTATGCATGGGTTTGTGGAACTATACAGACACACAGACATAGAACGTGAATTTTAACAGCTGGAGGAATAAAAAGCAACTTCACACTCTTCTAAACATTCTGAATTAACCTATGGATTTCATCCAGGACCCAAAAGCTTCTAGACTTCCAAATCCACCTTAAAAGCCTGTCCGGGCCGCTTAAGCAAACAAACCGATGCCTTACTTGAACTAGGACGAGCCATTTCCAAGCAAAACTTCTGTCTCTTTGCCGACGAAGCCTTAAGCCCACAGTGCGCTTGGGAAACCAGCCTTCTGGCGGTAAATTGGAAGAGACACATCGAGAAGTACCTGCACCTGGGAAGAAAAGAGACGAAAAACAAGCGGCCTATTTGAGGCGCGTTAATTTTCTGCAAGCTTGCCGGCAACGGAGCTCTCCACAAAGAACCAGGTGCAGACGTCAGTCGCGGTTTGTTTTGGTGGGGTTTTTTTGTTGGTTTTTTTTTTTTTTCTGCCTCACGCCGAAGCAACTCCCGAGACCCGGCTCTGTCAAACCTGCATTTTAAGGAAGCGGGGAAAATAGAAAAAAAAAAGGGGGGAAAAACAAGGGACGAAGCCGCGGCGGCGGCAGCCCCAGAGGG